CCCACATACAGCAACTAGAAGGATGTGCAGCTATGACATACAACTATCTACTGGGGCTTTGGGGGAAAAAACAAATAAATAAAATTATAAAAAAAAAAAAAAAGAATCAACGATTATAGAAAACTAAAAGCTTCTTTCTTCCCAATAAAATCAATGCTTCAGGGGCCGGCCCCATGGCATAGCAGTTAAGTGCACACGCTCTGCTGCTGGCAGCCCAGGTTGGGATCCCGGGCGCGCACCAATGCACCGCTGGTCTGGCCATGCTGAGGCAGCGTCCCACATAAAGTAAAGGAAGATCAGCACAGATGTTAGCTCAGGGCCAGTCTTCCTCAGCAAAAAGAGGAGGATTGGCATGGATGTTAGCTCAGGGCTGATCTTCCTCAGAAAATAAATAAATAAATAAAATCAATGCTTTAGCAAGTGCACTTTATAGAAATTACCATTCCCAATTTTACTGGAAATATAATGTCAAAAGAAAGAGGGCCAATGGTTACCAGGGCCTGGGGGCCGTGGGAGAATAGAGAATTAGTGTATATCGGGGACAGAGGTTCGCGGTTTGGGATGATGAAAAAGTTTTGGACATGGATGGTGGTGATGGCTGCACAAGGATGTGAATGTACTTAATATTGTTGAACTGTACACTGAAAAATGGTTAAAATGGTGAATTTTATGCTATGTATACTGTACCACAATTTAAAAAAAAGAAGGCAAAAGCAAGATCAACTTTTTCAGGGTGACAGAGCAAGATGATTCCAGCCTATACTAGTCGTTCTTGACGCCTCCTCTCTGCTTCCTCTTTAGTCATCAGGACTTGCTGACTCTCCCTCCTTAGAATCCCTCCTTCTGGACCTCACTACACTCATCTGATGGCAGGCGCCTCTGAACTGCACCTGCGGCCCGCAATCCTACTCCACCTCTGTCCACTCTCCGGACTTGGCTCACAGTGGTCTCTCTAAAACGTGATTCTAACCATATCTGCCTCACGTCTGCTTAAAATTCATTAATGATTCCACATCCTTTAAGATAAACTCCAAACTCTTTAGCATTTTATTTATGCATACTTTACCATTTAGTTTACAAGGATACTCCTTAAATCAGAAATTCTACAGTATTGCATGAGCTGCAACTGGGCACAAGAAGAAAAGAAAACCCCATGGGCCGGCCCGGTGGCTTGGCGGCTTAAGTGCACGCGCTCCGCTACTGGCAGCCGGGGTTTGGATCCCGGGCGCGCACGGACGCACCGCTTCTCCAGCCATGCCGAGGCCGCTTCCCACATACAGCAACTAGAAGGCTGTGCAACTATGACATACAACTATCTACTGGGGCTTTGGGAAAGAAAAAAAGGAGGAGGATTGGCAATAGGTGTTAGCTCAGAGCTGGTCTTCCTCAGCAAAAAGAGGAGGATTAGCATGGATGTTAGCTCAGGGCTGATTTCCCTCACAAAAAAAAAAAAGAAAAGAAAAGAAAACCCCAGATATGCTCCCCAGTCTTCCTGGCTAACTTCTAACAGTCTCCAGGGACTCCATTCCAGGGGATGTCTTCTCATCCTCTGGAACCCTTGGCGGATCCCTGGTTGGGGCCAGGAGTCACTCCATACGAGTCACACAGTGCGGGACTCTGTCGGGACAGTCACAACTGTCTATCTGCCAGCTCCAGGAGATGAGGAATTCCTCCAGTGCAGGAGCTAACTTTCAATTATTCTGTGTATTCCCAGCATCGAGTACACGGAGAGACACATAATATCTGCCCAGTAAACGTCTGTTGAATGAATGAACGTACCAAGAGAAAAGATTACGTCATGAGAAACCAGCACCCAGAGCGTGAACCTGAAAGACTGCAGCCTCGCGCAATGGGATTAACTCTCTCTGCAGATCTCCCCCATATACTTACATGTCGCTGCAGCAATAATACTTACTGTGCTCTCTGTGCCATGAGCAACTCATTTTTTGCAAATTCAAAGTCTTTTGGACCCTCGCTCGTAAGAGTATCTCTATTGGATGGTCTTTTTCCTTTCCGGACTTCTACTGGATGATTCAATCTAAAATAATGATCTCCACCAAGAATCACCCGATCACCCTAAGGCACACACAAAATTTACCACTTGAGATGAGTCTGAACCAAAAAATCACATGGGACAAATCATCACACTAATTCACTATAGTCTAGTATTATTAATGATAAACATAAATATCATAGCAACTAACATTTATTAAATACTTTCCATGTGCCAAGAACTGCGTCAAACGCTTTATGTACACGTTATCACATTTCCATCTCTCAACAACTCAATGAGATACATGCTATCATCCCGACGTCAGGTATGAGGAAACTAAAGAGCACAGAGCTTAATACGAGCAATCGTGAGCGTTCACTGAGCTTCCTATTTGCAGACATGGTGTTAAGAACTACACATGAATGACTGCATTTAATCCTCCCTTACCCCTGAAAGACAGGACATACGTGAAGTGACCACATGTCTTGGTTTGCCTGCAACAGACTGGTTTATGCCTGTTCTCCTAATGTCAATATTACAATCATCCCAGTGAAATAACTTTCCAAAGGTCATACGGCAGATGGCAGGGTCGGGGCTTCAACCCTGTCTGGCCTGAGTCCAGAGCCCAGCTCTTTACCACACACATACAATGCTGTCAGTGGTCAGCTCCTCAGGTACTGGTTCATAGTGATATATCTTTTGTCTTTGGACAAAGGAAAGCAATTAACAAGATAACAGGAAAGAGAATTTTACAACTGGCAAGTCCTTAATCTAGCTCATTACCATATTTTACAGAGGAGAAAACTAGGACTCAAAACATTAACAACTTGCCCAAAGTCAAACAATTTCTTACATTTTAGCACCAGCCAACTTACATGATGTAATACTGTGGGTTCCAAAATACGTTTTCCGTTTACATATGTCTTTGCTTCCCCAACTGGGACAATACTCACTGTCCCACCAAAACTTTTGATAGTACTGTTAAGATAGGAGGCACATTGTTAAAATAACAGAACAGACTAAAAAGTGAGAAAAAGGCAATATGAGATAATCCTTCTTGGGTTATTGCTTTGGTGTCAAGTTTCATATCCATTTGTGACAACAATGATTTAAAATTCCCTTATTTTCCTCCAACTAGATTTTGAAGTTTTGGTGAAAAAGCCTGGCCTCTCTAGCAATTCTATCCACCAGCAGTGGGAAGAATTTTCATTGTATGTATTTTGATTATAACTACTTTAAAAAAAAAAAGACCAACCTCCTCCCTCTCCCCAAAAATGAATTTAAAAAATCCAAAGAAAAAAATATATTAAAATATTGACAATGGTTTACCCATAAACAGAACAATTTTAAGTGTTTTTTTTTTTTGCTTTTCTAACTTTCTGGTTATACATGAGTTTTAATAAACGAATGAACAACAAACACTTTCCTCTCATGAAAAGTGGAGCATCACAAAAGAAGGAAAAGCATGCAGATCACAGTACACTCCTTAGTCATCTAATAACTGACCCTGACGATAAGATGACACTGTGGAAAACCAGCTAAAAATGCTATATATTCCTCTGAGTCTTTTTATTCAGAGACCAGGAAAGGAACTCCAAAGTCCAATTCATCTTGGATTAACTGGATGAGTCCTAACCAAACACGTCTGGCTGTTGATTATAATTCAAGAGTGACAGTTCACTCACAGCATCTAGAGAAGAGTACCTGGGAAGAACCGCTCACCCCCAGGCAATACACCCCTCCCACAAGTCTCGAGTCTTAACCACATCTACTGGTTCTGAGCCCTGCCCTCTCCTAATTCTATCTACTCTGTCATCAAACTCCTCAGCCTAGCATTCTGGACCCCCCAGTCTGGCTTCAATCACTCACCTCCCTCATGCACCACTATTTCCCTGTAAGCAGCCCACCTGAATTAGCCCTAGTATGGGCTTCCCTCCTTTGTCTGAGCCATCCCTGTAGCAGAGGACGTCCTCTCCCTCATCTCTGCCACCCTTCAAGGCCCAACTGAAATGCCAGAGCTCCCTAAGAAGCTTCTCTTTAGGGCTCAAGCTAGACGTGAACTCTTCCTTCTTCTTACTTTTAAGCACTAAGTATGTGAGACCCATCTAACATTAATACACGTTGACGGGTACAGAAGTCCTTTTATTCACTGAGCCCCCACCAGCCAGTTATGTCTCAGCAGTGAGGACAGGCAGAAAACCAGCTCTCACACAGTTCACAGTCTAGTAAGTAAGACAAACCCTGAGGAGTGACTAAAATGGGAAATACTGAGTACCAGGCAGAGGGCTTCCTCGTGCCCTGCTGGACTCTCAACTCCTTGAGAGTCAGAGCCTTGGTGTAAATCATACTGTATTTGTTATAGAAAACAATTAATAATAGAAGAGCCAAAGGAACCGAGAACATAGCTAATAGAAAGACTTATCAGAAAGCTCAAGTAATTAAGACTCCCATATTTTTGGAACTTTTTTATATGAACACTGCAGATCACAAAAGAAGCAATATACTATTTAATATATGGTACTGGCAGAATTGGTTATTCACATGGAAAATAAATGAATTTACATCTCTACTTCACACCAAAAAATTCCAGACTACTTAAGGACTTAAATGTGAAAGCAAAACTTCAAAACATCTAGAAGAAAATTTAGGAGAACATCTCCATGACCTCAACGTAGAAACTATGTCTTAAACAAGACACAAAAATTGACAACCGTAAAGGAAAAGATTGATGCCATGTACTACAATAAAACTAGGAACTTCGATCCACCAAAAGGCACCACCAGAGGGTGAAAAGATGAGCCACACACTGGAAAAAAGGTATTTGCAACACATAAAACTCACAAAGGCTTGGCAACCAGAATATATAAAGAACTGCTACAAATCACTAGGAAAAAAACAAAAAATCCAATTGAAAAATGGACAAAAGACAGGAACAGGCAAGTCACAGAACAGCAAACTAAAATGGCCAGTGAATAAATGAAAAGATTATTAGTCAAAGAAATGCAGAATGAAGCCTCAGTGAGATACCTTTTCACGTCCACCTGACTGGCATAAACTAAAGTCCGGCAGTACTAAGTGTTGGCAAGGATGTGGAGTAATAGGTACCCTCAAAGCCAACTGGAATAGAAACTGATAATCATTTTGGAAAACAATTTGAAATTACCAAGTAAAGTTGAACATACACATATCCTACAACCTAATATTTCAAATACTCTTAGACATATAGTTTAAGAGTGCTTCCCAAACCTTTAAAATCATTATTATTGCAGCATAATTAGAAAATCATAACATTTGTATAGCACACTAGGGTAAATAGAAAGGCTGCCCACAACTAGACATGACTGTCTGTCAGGTCAGGCCTCCGAAGTTCCCACTGGCTGCCTAGAGGGCTCATATCTCAGTTCATCATCTGGGAAACTCACTGTGGAGAAACTCCTCACATGTGTACCAGGAGACATGCACAAGAGTACTCAGCAATGTTGTGGTAGCAAAAAATCAGAAGCAACCCAAATGTCTATCAACAAAATAGATTGTAATAATATGAAAGATAGATAAATTCATACAATAGAATACAGCAGTGAAAATGAAAGAGCATCAATATGGATAAATCTTGAAAACATAATGTGGAGACAAGAAAGTCTACATATTCTATCATCCCAACAATACATATAGTATTCAATTCATGTGAATGAAATTCACATGAAACAAAACATTTAAATTTGTCAATCCAACCAAAAATCCTGCCATATAAGATAGATAGAAATTTACTTTCATGCCTATGATCACAATTCCAAGAAATTATCCCTCAGCCAGCAGATCATGTACACCAAAACAAAAATAGAGAGCATGACTACCTTGTACCCTGTATTGAGAGTAACTGGCCTACCGTCCTTACAAAACACTCAGAACGTCTGTTTTTCCTGGCTAAAAGATGCATTAAAGAATTATACCAAAGAATCAGTACAAATGAACGCCTTGTGTGAAGGAAACCACACGTCATCACAAAGATATGGAAGCCTCCTGAAAAATGAACAGGTGCCTTTTATTTGGGGGGAAGAATAACATACCAATGATCATCAGCAACCAGCACCCCAGATAACTGAATATCATGGCTGGAGTTTGGCTTATGTTTCCCAACTGTAGTTATGCCTTCTTTTATCATATATAACAGCATCTCTGATAGCTGAGGATCTTCATTGAGATTGACGAGGTTTGGCAAATGGTTGTCCATTTGAAATGTAATTCCTGCTTTCTAGTAAAAGTCAGAAAAAAAATTAACCTTAACCACAAGCAAGAAATTGTTGTTGTTTTTTTTATAATTTTATTTTTTTATTTTTTCCCCCAAAGCCCCAGTAGATAGTCGTATGTCATAGCTGCACATCCTTCTAGTTGCTGTATGTGGGACGCGGCCTCAGCATGGCTGGAGAAGCGGTGCGTCAGTGTGCACCCGGGATCCGAACCCGGGCCGCCAGCAGCAGAGCTCGCGCACTTAACCGCTAAGCCACGGGGCCGGCCCAAGAAATTGTTAAATTCACTTAAAATAAATGGTTTATGTTAAACATTAAAATCACTCGATGTGAAGTCTCACTAAGTTAGTTTCTTAGAATCTCTCCTTTGTGACTTCCCTGTAACTGTTACTACCATCATTATCATTACTTCTTAGACTTGCAGAGTTATGTTGACCCTTCTTGGTCCTTCGCCATCCTCAGCCCACTCATTCATCAATCCATCACCACCAAATTGTGCCTATTCTTACTAAACTGCTGTCTTTAGAGAAGATCGATCCCTTTTGCTGCATCTTCATTGCCATCACCTTAGTTCAGACCCTTATCAACTCATATCTGAACTACTGCAGTCTGACTGCCCCATCAACAATGTCCTCCTGTTTTCAGTCCATCTTACATCCTATACCAAATTAATTCTCCTGAAAGGATATTCTCAAAATGTCAGTTCCCAGTCAAACACTTTCAGTGACTTTCCACTTCCTATGGGATAAAACTCACATTTCTTGGCCTGGAAATCAAGTCCTTAATAAACTAACCATAACATACCCTTCCAATTTCATCTCCTTATGACCTCATACGAACTCCTTGCTCCAATAACACTGATCCACACACGCTCTTCTGAGCACACCTTAAACTTTCCCACCTTTACTCTCATACAATTCGCCCTTCCTAGAACACACTCCTCTTTTTCTCTGCCCATCAAAATCTTACCCATGCGTCAAAACGCAACTCAAATCTCATCCTCTATGAAGCTGGACTAGCCATTCCCAAGGAAATCTGCACCCCCTCCTCTGAATTCTTACAGGACTCGCCTACCAATCATCTGAAATGTTTCCTTCACTGCCAACGCCTTTGAGCCTGACCTGTCCTCTCCATTCTCCTTTAGGACATCTCCATTAAGGGGCTTGATTCCTGTAAAAATGTTCAAGTCTCTTCCATCCTTTAAAGAAACAAAAACAAATCAAACAAAAAAACAAAACTTCTCGACTCAGCCTCACAGCGCCCCCTGACTCCTAGACTTCTCACTAAGGTTTTCAGAGTCTGTATGTGCGGCTCTGTCTCTTCATCTCTCAGTCATTCCTCAACCCACATCATCTGGCCCCTTCTTTCTCCAGCACCAAGACCTCATAATTTCCCAAAGCCATGCACACATTTCAGAAACCTGGGCGTCATTCTTGACTTTCCATTTCTCTCAACACCTAGGTCCCACCCCACCCCCCGAAAAAAGCCCCAGGGGATCCTCTCAATGTTACCTCCTTTCTATCTCTTGAATCCCATGCCTCCACCACCCATTCCCACGGCCACTGCCTTACTCCAATCTTTCCTCATCTGTCAGCTTAAGTGCAGCAACAGCCTCCTAAACAAGTACCTTGCCCTGCCATCATCAGTCTTTCCTCCCTCAACTCCATCTTTCACACTATCACCAGAGGAATCTACTCAAAACTCAAGTCTGCTCATGTTGCTCCCCTTCTACCTAAATTCAAGTTCCTCCCTACGTCATGATCTGAATCTTACATCTCTCTCCATCTAACATCACCAACGTTAATTTGTAACGTCTTAATTCTCTGAACACCACACTGTGCTGTGCCTCCATGCTTTCGAACACGGTATTCCTCTGCTTAGAAATTTGGACCTCGTTAGCCTAGCAACTTCCTGCTGGTTGTACAAAATCTTGCTTAGTAATCCCTTTCTCTTTGAAGTCCTCCTTAATAACCATCTTCATCAATATTAATTATTCCTTCCTCTCTCCTGTTTCTCTACCTTTTATACACTTTCCACTACACTAGGTTGAACCATATGCCATTTACCTAAAAAATGGCAGTTTCACACGGTTCAGCCTCATCAAGTCACGCTGCACTTCAGTCACCTATTTTGTAAACCTCCCTCTGGATCGCATGCTCTCTGAGGCCCAAAGTATGTTCCATTCACCTTGGCCTCCCCAGGCCTGCCACAGCATGAACATTTACTATTTGCTGAACCACAGTGAATAGAACCAGACAGTTTGTTTATATTTTCACTTTCCAACCAGCTGACGGGCTCTAAGCAATCACAATCTGATCTTAACATTTCTTTATAACAATTCTCTATGGTATTGCTTTGTACAGAGTCAGGATCCAATAAGTATTTGAGAAATTAAATTTACATACTTATTGGCATACTTCTTTAACTTTCAAATCAGTTTGAAAGTTGAAATGATACCTGTAACTCTTCTGTTTCTTGAAGTTTTCTTTTTTCAGCTTGTTTAAGTTTCTCTCTCCATAATCTTTCCAAAGACAAATGAAATAATAGAGTCAAAAACATCCTGATACGTAAGATTGGGAATCAAGAGACAATCAATAAAGATGAGGAAGCCACTTAGGAATATTTAAAATATGATAATCTGGGGTGGGCAGCTCTACTCTTCAGAAGGTAGGTAGACAGACAGACAGACAGACAGACAGACCTCTCCTAAGCCCCTCTCTCTCCACCCCCACCAGGCAACACATTTAACACCTAAAATATATTCCACCTTTGCATTTCTGCCATGTGTCTCTCCTGCTGATACAGTTTCATTCTTAAGGATGTTATTTCTTGCCGACAGAGCCTATACTGTTCAGGGTCAATATTCCGACTGTTTCTTTGAGCAGCTTTTAGCTTTTCAATTTCTGCCTTCAATTCTAAATATTTGTAAAAAGATGCATGATTAGTAACATGTAATATGTCCACAGTAGGCATAATCCTCCAATCTTCTATTTTATTTGAAGTTTTAAATATTACTAAGTAGAATATTTGCAAAAATCAATTTTATTTTACTTACATTACTTATAAATCTCTACCTAGCCTTCGCCTCAAAAAGTGCTCCTATATCAATGAATTTCCCCCCTCCTAAGTAGGATCGCCACATAATGCACTGTCCAAAGTGAGAAACTGAGAAAGGGGACACTCTTACTTACACTGGGACAACAGACATAAACCTTACTATAAAGACATGTGGGATAAGGATCAAAGGTTTTTCATGCTGGAATCCAGGATACTTATTTTTCATGAAAACGGTCCCATTTGTAAAAGAGAGGGGATCCAAAATGGAAAGAAAAACCACAATATAGCAAACTCATTCATCTCTGGCCCACCCTCTGAAGTGTCTGTTCACCTTTTGCTGCCAGAGGACAAAAGGGTAGGAAAAGATGGTAGTTCCACATAAGCAAAGAGAAAACTGTACAAATCAAGATTCCTTGCAGGCACCCAAGTCTATCCTAAGCAGGTGGTTACCAAGACAGAAAGAGGAAGTAAAGTTTAGCACAAATAACGTTAGGCCTATGCTAGAAACTCAAGACCAAACAGCCTTCGGATCAACAAATTAAGGAAGAGTAGAGCTGATAAACAGAAGGACAGTGGAGGAACGGTCACAAGAAGTAAAATAACTAACTGTACTGTTACTATGCTGCACACCCTACGACTCGTTCTGTGAAATTAGTTTTCTATGCTTGCGATTTCCCCTTCTCCACACTCTATGTTCTATGCTCTGACTGTTTCCCTCACTACTTATCTCTTTCCCAGTCATCTACCTCCATCACTGTAGAAGGATGATTACAACCTATTATAAGTAGGTATGGAAGAAAAATCTTTTGTTTTCTTAAGGTGCCTATTTTCATGACTGAAATTAATATTTGAGATTAAACTGTTACAAAATAATTTAATCTTCAGAAAAACATTCACCTCTAATTAACTTAGCATTCACATCTTCGTTTACTCTGGCAACGTTGACTATCATGCGGGCCTTGTTGGCGTATCTAAGGGTGCTCAATGTTTCCTCGATGTTGCTGGCAGCGGGACTGATCGTGGCGATCATTGCAGTTTTAGAGTTTCCACCCAGACTTTCTTTTAACAGCCTTCAAGGAAAAACATCATAATTAGACTTTGCTTCTACAACAACCTAATAACAGTAATTATCTAGAAAGCATAAAACAAACTAATAGGGTATATAATATAGTATTATACTCTTCACTTAAATACCATTTAATACTTTTTTGGTATTTGTAGCTATTTTTAGATCTCATGAACACATTATTTTCTCTTATACTTTTTATATTGTTTCACGATGCAAGGATCTATGTAGAGATTTTAACATAGGGTTAACCATCAAATATTTAGTAAGATGCCTCTCCCCACACTAGACTAGGAGCCACTTTAGGGAAGGACCACATGTCTTGGTCATCTTTGTATTTCCAGTGCTACCACGACCTTTTGTGCAGGTACACAGTAAATGTTGAAAATGATGAATGGACATATAAATAAAATTTTTTTCCACTATATGCAAAAGCCTTATTTTAGAAGAAAAAAGAAAGTATGAGAATATGAGACTAAAAGGCCTATCTCTATTAATGCAGAATGAATATCACTATTCTTAACTTTCAAAAGGCGTAATAAAAATCAGATTTTCCCTCACAGGTTTCGAGGTGGCAATTCCATTATAAGAAACCAATTGTAAAGACACACTGCTGTCAAGTAGAGATGCAGTCCTTGACAGAATTGTGCATTAATGCCACAAGAATCCAATTTATACAGATGTCATGTGAAGGGAATGTATCTGAAATTAAATACACATTCATTAACGAAAACACTGAATACCTATGTGCTAGCTGGAGTGTGCTAACAAAACTTCAATTCCATTTGACACACACATTAGTGACACCACTGCTCCGACACGAGGCACTAACAATAGTTAAGTATTAGCATAATCGCTTACACTCATAGCACATACTCTGCACTGAGAGGTTTACATCAATCATTTAATCCTCACTATAACCCTAACAGATAGGTATTGATACTCTCCCCATCTTAGGGATGAGGAACCAGGTGTGATTTGCCCAGTCACAGAGCATGTAGGACGCAGAGCTGAGCTCCAAAGCCAGGCAGGTTGGCTCTGAATTCACACTGCTGACGGCTTCTTCTCTCACCCTCAGTTACGTGAAGTCAGTCTGCCGCTCTTCTCCCCACAGTAGTCCTACATTTTATACAGTTCTTTACACTTCAAAAGATACTTGCCACGTAAGCACAGATTCTCGATAGGGAATGAAGACACTCTTCCGGTTTGCCTGTTCCGAGAGGGCAGATATCACCTTTCCCAGAGTTAGCAAGGACTTGTTAATGCTCACACCTTCCTGCACACAACATAAAAAGTGCTTTTAATTTAAAATAACTGCTCAAGGAGAAATTTACTTCACAAAATATATTTCTCCCCTCATATAGTTACTGAGTAAATATTTTCTTTCATAAACAACTACCTATTTTTTTTTTTAATTTTTATTTATTTATTTTTCCCCCAAAGCCCCAGTAGATAGTTGTATGTCATAGCTGCACATCCTTCTAGTTGCTGTATGTGGGACTTGGCCTCAGCATGGCCGGAGAAGCGGTGCGTCGGTGCGCGCCCGGGATCCAAACCCGGGCCGCCAGCAGTGGAGCGCGCACACTTAACCGCTAAGCCACGGGGCCAGCCCAACAACCACCTTTCTTATGACTCAAAATTTACTAATTTTCTTTGACAAGTAATCATAACCAAAAAGTATGGATTTCCCTTTAAACCACAGCAATGCAGTCAATAAACCACAGATTAGATTTTTTTTTTTTTGGTTAAGCATATTTAGTTTGTAGTCTCCTGAGAAATAAGTTTGATCAGAATGAGAACAGCACGAAGACGTCTACCTTCAGCCGCTCTCCACACGTGTGCTCGAGGGAGCATCGCTCACTGCCAGCCAGGTCGACCAGGTTTATGCGGCTCGTCACTCTGTGATCATGTTCTTCTCCTTCCACAAATTCTGTCTGTAGCAAAACGATATCACAATAATTTAAGTTTCTTTATGACTTGTCATCAATACAAGGCTTCAAAAGGAAGTTATACAAGGTTATCAACTGCTCATTTAGTTTTGAAACTCCCCCTAATTGAATTTGTGGTCATATATGATGCACAAATATTTGAGAATACATTGAGCAGTGCTTGGCTTATGCCAAAATAAAAGAAATAACTTTAAAGGGATAAAAACACACAACTACTCAATTACATTAAGGAAACAACCATAAATAGAGAAAAAGTTTAAGGTACAAAGTTGTTGTTGATGCCAGCATTAAAACAGCAAAATAAAGAGGAGGAATCAGCATCCGATGTTAGCTCATTCTTCCTCACAAAAAAAACCAAATAGGTAACGAAGAAGTGAAACTCTCACTATTTGCAGATGACATGATTGTATATATAGAAAACCCTAAAGAATCCATTGGAAAACTATTAGAAATAATCAACAACTACAGCAAAGTAGCAGGGTACAAAATCAACTTACAAAAATCAGTTGCATTTCTGTATGCTAATAATGAAGTAACAGAAAGAGAGCTCAGAAAGATAATACCATTTACAATTGCATCAAAAATAATAAAATACCTAGGAATAAATCTTACCAAGGAGGTGAATGACCTATACAATGAGAACTACAAGACATTATTGAAAGAAATCGATGATGACATAAAGAAATGGAAAGATATCCCATGCACGTGGCTTGGAAGAATAAACATAGTTAAAATGTCTATATTACCTAAAGCAATCTACAGATTCAATGCAATCCCAATCAGAATCCCAATGACATTCTTCACAGAAATAGAAAAAAGAATACTAAAATTTATATGGGGCAACAAAACACTCCAAATAGCTAAAGCAATCCTAAGAAAAAAGAACAAAGCAGGAGGCATCACAATCCCTGACTTCAAAACATACGACAAAGCAATAGTAATCAAAACAGCATGGTACTGGTACAAAAACAGACACACAGATCAATGGAACAGAATTGAAAGCCCAGAAAGAAAACCACACATATACGGACAGCTAATTTTCGACAAAGGAGCTAAGAACATACAATGGAGAAAGGAAAGTCTCTTCAATAAATGGTGTTGGGAAAACTGGACAGCCACATGCAAAAGAATGAAAGTGGACCATCTGCTATCGCCATTCACAAAAATTAACTCAAAATGGATCAAAGACCTGAAGGTGAGACCTGAAACTATAAAACTCATAGAAGAAAATATAGGCAACACACTATTTGACATTGGTCATAAAGGAATCTTTTCGGATGCCATGCCTACCCAGACTAGGGAAACTAAAAAAAAAATAAACAAGTGGGACTTTATCAGATTAAAGAGCTTCTACAAGACAAAGGAAACGAGAATCAAGATGAACAGACAACCCACCAGCTGGGAGAGAATATTTGCAAAACATACATCTGACAAGGGGTTGATCTCCATAATATATAAAGAACTCACACAACTGAACAACAAAAAAACAAACAACCCGGTCAAAAAATGGGCAGAGGAAATGATCAGACACTTCTCCAAAGAAGATATACAGATGGCCAATAGGCACATGAAAAGATGTTCAACATCACTAACCATCAGGGAAATGCAAATCAAAACAACACTAAGATACCACCTCACGACCGTTAGAATGGCTATAATCACCAAGACAAAAAACAACAAATGTTGGAGAGGATGTGGAGAAACAGGAACCCTCATACACAGCTGGTGGGAATGCAAACTGGTGCAGCCTCTATGGAAAACGGTATGGAGATTCCTCAAAGAATTAAAAATAGAGATGCCCTATGACCCAGCCATCCCACTACTGGGAATCTATCCAACGAACCTGAAATCAACAACCCAAAGAGGCTTATGCACCCCTATATTCACTGCAGCATTATTCACTATAGCCAAGAAGTGGAAGCAACCTAAGTGTCCCTCGATTGATGATTGGATCAAGAAGATGTGGTATATATACACAATGGAATACTACTCAGCCATAAAAAAAGACAAAATCGTCCCATTTGCAACAACATGGAAGGGCCTGGAGGGTATTATGTTAAGTGAAATAAGCCAGAAAGAGAAAGACAAACACTGTATGATCTCATTCATGTGGAATATAAACCAACACATGGACAGAGAAAACTGTATTGTGGTTACCAGGGGCAGTGGGGGTGGGGGGTGGGCACAAGGGGTGAAGGGAGACATATATATGGTGATGGACAAACAAAAATGCACAACCCAAAATTTCACAATGTTAACATCAATAAAAAAAAAAAAAAAAAAGAGGGGGAATCAGCATCGGATGTTAGCTCAGGGCCATTCTTCCTCACAAAAAAAAAAAACAAACAGCAAAATATTTAAAAGCAACATAAATGTCCAACAGTAGACAAAAACTTAAGGAACTGTAATGGTCATTGGAATATTATAGAGCTATTAAAAATGATACTTTGCAAAGAATTTTAACAGCATAAATTGTAACAGATTTTGTAAATTTAACCGTGATTGTAAAACAACTAAAAAATAATATACCAAAATGTTTAGAGGGGTTTTATTTGAGTAGTGGAATCTATGGCTGAATTTTTAAAAATCTTTTACTTTCTGATATGTTTTTCCAAATACTCTATAATTACCATAAGTTATTAATATATTATCAAATATTGATATGATAATATCACTGATATCATAAGTTAATAATATATTATTGATTTTTAAAACAATGAGAACTACCATACTGCCATATATACTAAAAGTCAGAGTTATTGTGTATATTTCCTAAAATCCAATTGCTTATATATTTATATGACTGTACTTTTTACCTTTGATTTAAAAAAGAAAAACATGAAACTTGAACATATTTACTATCTTACCTAAGAAAAGAGTCAACAACAACAATACCTTGGTCTGGGTCATCACCAGAGTCAACACAGAATGGGACCGGGAGCTTTTGTCGTTCATACCAGTAGCAGCGGTTGCTCTCTGTTTATACCCCAATTCCAGCCAACTCTAATGAGCAAGAAGAGAGGAGGTGAGACCTGCAGGCTGAAAGTTATTGGAACAACAAAGTGAAATAAGCACATCTGGTAACATATACACATCTATAACTAGTTTATAAATTGAAATTATTAATAAATGTTTACCATTTAATAATTAGTATTCTCACTGTCTATTTTTTTTCTGTCACAGAAATATGAATCAGGAAATAATACCTTTAAAGGCTATTTCTGTAACTCTAAGCTGACATGATGGTCAATTTTTATTTTTAATTCAGAAGAGTATTCTTTGAATTAAGGTTTAACAAACAAAATCAGTTCATGATAAATTAACAAGACTAACCTTTTATGCAAATAGCAATTAAGGAGAAATATTCTTATAAATATTTATGATTACAACCTTTCTATCTAGCGGAGAGAAGACAAAATGTGATCAACTTACCTGGACATCAGAGTAAGAACTGACAACATTCCTGTTTTTAAAAAGTCAAAAAACAAAATCAGTTTTACTGATGATTATCCCCTCATTCTCATAAAATAACCATCACCTTTCAATTACATAATTACTCTCTGAATATCACAATGGAATAATTCATAGATATTATTATACTGATTCTCACAGAATCTTTCATTTTCTTCATTCTAAAGGGTAGGAAATAAAATAATGCTTTAATTTTACCAAAAAGTATGATTTTTCTTAATACTATGAAGCACCTTAGCTTCTTAACACTATGATATTCAAGTCTACATCAGGAGAGCAGAAGATACACTTTAACACACATGCATATGTATAGGTGTCTGTATATGTGAGTGTGGGTATGTTGGTGTGTATGGGTCTCAGATTTATTAAAGGGAGCTGGATCTGCACCTCATCGCTTTTCCTTTTCTTTAAGAAAAGCACTTGAAGTGTTGAAAGACAAAGTAAATGACTCTTAGCACGTTATCAAACTCGCAACATGAACTCATCTTAGCACGTTCTCCCCTTGTCAGCTTCAAATAATAGATATAAAAGCAGCTTGAGAGGGAAGGCTTAACTTAATGGGGAAAAGAGGAGGTAAAAGGGAGAAAAATCAGATATGTATGTCATACTCAGTATAATACTCTACACCAGGCACTTTACAGGTGCTGTGAAAGATACAAACAAACATAAAAACAAGCAGCTAACACTCTACATGAAAAGGGAAGGAAAACTTAATATTAAGGGTAGAAGGCTAAATAGTCAGCCAGGGTTTCAAAGCTGGGGAGGCAAATGAGAATGACATCCCCTCTATCATTTGCTGTCTCCTTGTCCTGCTGAGCCAAGCACTTACAGTGACAGAGCCTCGACATACGGTCCCGAGACAGGATGCTCCCTCACTCTCAGCTAGTGGAAGCAGACATGGGCATCGTTAAGAGGATGACAAACAGTTCACACAAAATATAATTTTCAATGATCATTTTTTCTATATTTTGAGTTTAAAGAGATTTGTCTTTACTTTATCCAGAAATAAAAACAAAGGTTCCCACAAAAACAAATCTGTAAGGCATTAAGAAACTGCTTCAATATCATAAACTGTTTATATCTGCACAATGTACGACAATATACTGTAGCATCGATTATCTTAATAGTTTGATATTCTTAAGTCCCGCAGTAGCTATTATTTATATGCTTTTAAATATCTTTCTAGGGCCGGCTCCGTGGCTTAGCGGTTAAGTGCACGCGCTCTGATGCTGGCGGCCCGGGTTCGGATCCCGGGAGCGCCCCGAGGCACCACTTCTCCGTCCAACGTGAGGCCAAGTCCCACGTACAGCAACTAGAAGGATGTGAACCTATGACATACAACTATCTACTGGGGCTTTGGGGGGAAAAAACTGAATAAATAAAATCTTTAAATATCTTTCTAAAACATGTTCAACAAATTTCAGACTTTTACAATTTTCTTTAGTTTTACACTATTCATTTTAAACTTTGTCACCAGAAATTTTAAAACACATAGAAGACATAGAAGAAAATGCCAAGCTTTGTTTAAGTTTTTGATTTTGCCAATAGCAGACTGCATGACCTTGGGCAAGGCAAGTGAACTCTTCAGATTTTCGTTTCCTGTGCTCCAAGTTCCTTTTCAAAATTAAAAATTTTAAATTCTAATAGTGGTTTTTTTTAAAAGCTTATGTATTTGTGAAACTTTCTATTTCACAGGAAATATTATCCATAAGATATCACTTTGCTAAATAATCCAGTGAAATACATATTCTATAATAATGCAATTTTTTAAACTTTTACTGCTTTTTGGCTTTACAGACTATTAGGGATTTGGTGTTTGATCTAAGTGGTCCAACTAAATCTTAGAAGAAATATTTTATCTTTAATTTTCATACAATACTTGATTAAAATAAAAAGAGGTTAAATTTAATAACAATTTCCACTAACAATAATGCTCAGCCTATTTACTAAATAACAATGTAGTTAGAGTATAGATTACAAGCATTTGCTATCATATAATAACATTTCAGTAAAAACTTAAGCCATTATATCATTGAGAACTCACATAATTATATGCATTTATAAAAACAGAAATTAAAAACAAATAATAAACTGTTTTAATCTTACTGGTTGCTTTCTCTGCCCGTTTTCACCTTTACAAACCAAAAGGTCATGAATTTTTTCATTATATACTTCAAAGAAGCTCATCTCAAGATGATAGCTGATCTAGCAGGAAAAGAAACACAGCACGCAATTTATTTTAAAAGTCTTTGCATTTTTTGCAAATCATGTATCTGATAAGCATCTAGTATCCAAAATATATAAAGTATTCTTACAACTCAACAACAAAAAGACAAACAACCCAATTAAAAAATGGGCAAAAGAGTTGAATAGACATTTCTCCAAAGAAGATATACAAACAGCCAACAAGCACATGAAAAGGTGCTCAACATCATTAGTCAGTGGGGAAATACAAATCAAAACCACAGTGAGAAACCACTCCACACCCACTAGGTAACTATAATCAAAAAAATGGAAAACAACAAATACTGATAAGGATATGGAGAAACTGGAACCCTCCTACATTGCCGGTAGGAATGTAAAATGGTGCAGCCACTACAGAAAATAGTTGGCAGTTCCTCAAAAGGTTAAACATAGAGTTACCCTACGATCCAGCAATTTCAACCTCAAAGAATTGAAAATAGGTATTCAAATAAAAATTTGTATACCAGTGTTCACAGTAGCACTACTCACAATAGCCAAAAGATGGAAACAACCCAATGTCCATCAACTGATGAATAAACAAAATTTACTAATTTTGGAATATTGTTCGGCCATAAAAAAGAATGAAGTACTGATACATTCTACAACACTGATGAACCTCCAACACATTTGCTAAATGAAAGCAGCCAGACACAAAAGGTCACATATTGCATGATATTCCGTTGGTATGAAATATCCAGAATAGGTAAATCCATAGAGACAGAAAGCAGATCAGTGGTTGTCACAGACTGGGGGAGGGGAATGGGTTGTAAGTGCTTAATGGGTACAAGGTGTCCTTTGAGGATGATGACAATTTTTGGAACCAGATAGAGGTGGTGATTACACGACATTATGACTGTACTAAATGCCACTGAACTTTATACCTTAAAACGGTTAATTTTATGTTATGTGAATTTTATCCCCCAAAAACTTTTTTTAATTTGAACAACAAAAGTCCTTGAGTTTCTCCTTCTTAACTTCTATGTAAGGTTCAATTCAATCCAACAAGCACCTACCTCCTATGTGTAAGGCTCTGGGCTATCGTCAGAAGGATATAAAGAAGCATAAGACAAGGTTCTTGCCCGTGAGGTTCCATCTCATAGAAATACAACATACCCTCCAATAGATAAGACAGAGCAATAGAAAATTAAGAACCAAAATGAGAGATCGTGACTACAAATAAAACAACTAATCAGAAAGGGGAGAAATTAGGGTGGCCGGAAAGGCTGGGGAAAGAGAAAAAAGGACGTGAGGCGTGAGGGAAAGAGTGGACTGGACCTGGTGTGTTGGCATTTGATCTGGTAAGTTGGGATCTTAAATCAGTAATTCTTCCTGATTGGGGCAAAAAGCAATCATCAGACTAAGTAGGACTGAGCTTCTCCTCCTTTTGATTCAGAAAGACAGGGGAAAAGGTCAAACGGGGGGAAGTTTGCTTCCACATAGCTTTTTTGACAGTTAGGGCAGGTTTCCTTATTAGACAAATAAGTTTCATCCACTGGCCCGAAGTGACTGAGGACGCATCCAATACTGACAGAACTGGGAGCCTCAAAGTGATTCAGGTTCAATTCACCAAATATTTACTGGACCCACCAGGTACACTGCACTCTTCTAGGGGCTGTGGGAGAATCTGAGATAACTGGACATGGTCTTTATCCTCGAAGACCTCACAATCTAATCAGAGGTGCAATACAGTACATGAGTGATGCAAAACAGAAGACTATGGTTAGCATCACAGGAGAGGAACAGAACTCTTCCAGATAGAGACCAGGTGTACGGGAACACCATGTAACTATAGGGTCATTTACAAACACTATTGATGTAGGTATGGGGGCTCAGAATTCAACAAACATGCATTAATGCCTATTAAATATAAAATAGTGCATTGTGCTGAGTTTCAGGGAGTCTTAGAGATGAAAATGTAGCAGGAGGTGAGCCGGGAAAGGTAGTGAGGTTCACAACGCAGAGGACCATACTCTCTTCTCCTTAGAGGCTCCTGCCATTTGCCAGCTATGCCACCTTCTACTACTTCCATCCACATACTATCACCCTGTACCATCCTGAATAATCCCCGAGTTGATCTACCAGTCACTTAGTTGGGCTCACTGCATGCCAGGCACTATTCAAAACCCTCTACGTAGCTCAACCCATTTAATCCTCACAACAGACCCATGAGAAAGGAATCATCTTCCTCATCCTCCTCCTCCCCCTCCTCTTCCTCCTCATCATTCTCATTTTCTCTGCTGAAGCACAGAGAGAAGTAAATGGATTAAGGTCCCACTTCTAGTAAAGTGATGGAGCTCGGATTCAAACTCAATCTATCTCCCAAGTTCAGGCTCTGAACTGTTACACTACATTCCTCCCAGTGATAAAGTCATTCCATGCAAAGTCCGAGCCTCCCAGATCTGTGAAATCATCCCCAAGACCTCTGCCTCCACTTCACTTTCTCTCTTTCTCTCCAGCTTCCAGTACCTTCAAACTACTCTACCTCTAAAATATTCAACAGCCAATCGAGTCTGACCCACAAGCCCACAGCTCTCTCACCGCCTTATTCCCACTAAACTTGGACCTGGATCCCGTTTCATCCTGTAGTCTCCAGACCACCATGTTTCTATTGGTCTCTCTCCTCCTCTGATTTTCAACTTCGATTCCTCTCTCCCTGATCCTCCATTTCCAATAGTTGCCAGGTACTAAAATGTCTCAAATGTGTGCCCCCTTGTTCACCCCCACTGTCACTACCTTAGTCAGCTCCTTGTCATGCCTCACACAGCTAACTGGTCCCACAGCTGGTCTCTCTGCAGCCAGTCCCACTTCCCTTCAATCCATTCTCCACACTGTAGCCAGAGCTATTTTTTCAAAGAGCAAATATGATCGTATTACTTCACTGTTTAAAATCCTTCCACAGCCTTCTGGATTCCTGGAAGCATGGTTCAAGAAGTCCTTGACAAGCCAAGTTCTGCCTGCCTCTCTAGTTCCACCTCTTGTCACCCTCTACCTCAAACTCCATGCTTCGGGCCGGCCCCGTGGCTTAGCTGTTAAGTGCGCGCGCTCCGCTACTGGCAGCCCGGGTTCAGATCCCAGGTGTGCACCAACGCACCGCTTCTCCAGCCATGCTGAGGCCGAGTCCCACATACAGCAACTAGAAGGATGCGCAGCTATGACATACAACTATCTACTGGGGCTTTGGGGGAAAAAAAAGGAGGAGGATTGGCAATAGACGTTAGCTCAGAGGTGGCCTTCCTCAGCAAAAAGAGGAGGATTGGCACGGATGTTAGCTCAGGGCTGATCTTCCTCACAAAAAAAATAATAAAAATAGGGCCAGCCCCATGGCTTGGTGGTTAAGTGCGTGCACTCCGCTGCTGGCGGCTGGTTCGGATCCCGGGCGCGCACTGACGCACTGCTTCTCCGGCCATGCTGAAGCCGCGTCCCACATACAGCAACTAGAAGGATGTGCAGCTATGACATACAACTATCTACTGGGGCTTTGGGGGAAAAATAAATAAATAAAATAAATAAAAATAAATAAATAAATAAAAATAAAAAATTCCATGCTTTAAGCAAACAACTTCTAGACTCCCGCGGGCTCCCACTCTCCTGCTCTCAGATCTTGCACGTGCTGCTCCCTCTGCCTAGAACGCCCCTCCCCTCTTCATCAGGCTAATCACTACTATGTTCCCTTCAAAAATAGGCTCAGTTGTTCCCTCCTCTAAGAAAATCTGTCTCCCTCCAATCTTACGTCTTCTCCCAGTGCCCTGTTCTTACTCTATCACAGTATTTCATTTATTTAGCATTTAATTGATTGTACTTGGCTGTTTACTGCCCCATTTCTCCCATTACACTCTTTTAACTACAGGGATCGGGTCTTTTAACTCCATACTCCCAAATATACCACAATATCGTCCCAATTTTCCTATCATACGAATTACTAGGGGAAAAGCATGATAATTACAAATTCCCAGGCTCCACCCCAGACCAGCTGAATCAGAATCTCCAGAAGAGAGCACTCACACACACACACCTGTCCCTGCCATGTCACTGGTGATTCTTGTCATCAAGCAAATTTGAGAAAAAAGTGGTCTAACAGACTGCCTGGCAAATAGCAGACGCTCAGTAATACTTGCTAAATGAACAAATGAATCAATGAAAAGGAAGCCAGCAGAGACTCTTCAGGTGTAGTACAGAGGAAAGAGCATGACTGTTGAAGTTGAATCAAAACTGGGTTCAAACTCCAGCTTCCCTACTCTTTCTGCTTCGTGTTGTTCTAAAGCATATGCCTGCTGTCCTTAGTTAAGTCTGCACACCTGCCTGACTAGAGACACGTATAATGGTACACAACACCACACTGTGAGCCACCACACAAACACAAAAGGAATAAAGCAGAGAAAGCTAGAAAGACAGAGGAGACGACCGCGTCACTGTCCACCAGGAAGAACTAATTCTGAATTCAGAATCCCCACCCTGTCTCTCCATATCCCTGTTCCGAAGGAAGTCATTTAGAAACTAGAACCATGTCTTCCACTGATATTTCCTTAGTGGCCATTACTGATTTTAACCTGATTTGACTGTTTTCTAGTCCAATCTGAAGGCGTGCAGATACTATAAGAACATACCTCTTGGGTTTGTTTTTTAGCTACTTGAGCAAAAAGATCTTCACAAAATCTTGGAATTATTCCTGGTTCTTCACTAAATCCCATCATCCTGGAAAATACATAATGAATAGGGGAGAATAAAACTATTAGTTATTTTTTATTCTTTTGGGGGAAACGGGTTGGAGAGGGAGTGGGGAACAAGCCAATTAAACCTCATCGTTAGTAACTAAGAACCTGGGCTCTGGAGCCAAATCTGCCTGAGTTCAAGTCTTGATTTCACCACTTATTAGCTCTGTGACCTTGGACAAGATACTTAACTTCAGTAAACCTCCATTTCCTCTTCTGTGAAACAGGAATAAATAGAACTATCTAATTCAGAGGGATGCTGTGAGAGAGGACAAGCAGAGCCTTCAGCACAGTGCCTACAATCCAGTAAGAACTCAGTCAACGTTAGCTACAACTAAAATGCTGAGTATTCCCTTCCAGGACAGTATCATTACCACACCACTTGTTAGATGACTTACTTTTAATTCTCACAATAATACTTACCAGATAACCTCTCTGGGCTTCGGTTTACACAAGAAATATGATTTACAGTAAAATGGAGCCAAGGATACTCACAAGGTAAACAGTACCTCCTGCATAAACTGAAGCCCAAAAGTTAAGTCACTCGCCCAAGTTTGCAGAACTAGTATGCAAAATGGATGCGATTTGAGCCTAGATCTGTGTGGTTTCAAAACTATATTCATTCTATCAAACCATGCTGCTTCTCATAAAAGATGATGTCAACATTTCTGGATAACTGTATCTGCAGTAAAGCTCACGTGTATGATTTCCCAGAGCCAGTCTGACCATAGGCGAAGAGACAGGCATTGTAGCCTTCAAAAGCCCGCTGCAGGAGCGGGGCTGCCAGGGTCTCGTAGACAGTCGTCTGGCTGGCGTAGTTAGGATGACATTCATCAAAAGACCAGAATGAAACATCATGTCTAAAGGTATAAACTTGTTTCATGTCAGGATGCTCCACGGCTATTTCTTCCCCATTCAAGAAGACCACCTGGGATGCTTTTTCAATCTTCTCTCTTTAAAAAGAAGCACAAAGAAAAACATCACGTTACTGTACTTATTTTGAGTATTATTCCCACAGAATATAATTAGGACCTCAAAACTAGTTAAATACAACATTCCTCAAGAGCAAGATAATTCTCTAAGTTTTATGTGGAAAACGTGGACCAGCAAACATAATCATACTAGGTTCCAAAATACATTTCCTGTAGCTCCAATGCCACTACTCAAAGGGAAAACGGAGTTCCAGATTTATTGTTGGGAAAACCTACCCTACGTTTACAGGATTTTTCATCTCTTCCCATCCCACCTACTGTAATCTACCTGTACTCTTCAGTTCAAATCTGGAAACTTATTTTTACTATAAAGAAATTTGGGAGGCACAAATCTATATAAAGCTGTATGAAATACAAATGTCATTCCAACAAATGCAGTTAAATATAAGTTGGAATCATAAGTTTCTTTTGACTACTAGCTATTGTTACTGTTAATCCAAAGATCCCTCCCTCCTTCAGATTATCTCCCTTAAAATCATGGGTCTTCATGCACATCCTTCTTCCATCTCAGACTTAGGTGGAAATCTTGCACTTACTCCAGATTTGCAGAAAAACAGTATCAGTCCTTGTCTGGCCCCAGATATCCCTTTTGGCCCCCAACTCTGCGTTAGAACTTATCCTGGAAATCGCATGCCTCATCAATCTGACAAGTGCCCCTCCACGCCAGCCCTGCTTCCAGGGCTGTCTGACAAGTCTGGAAACGGGCACTTGGTCCTGCAATAAGTTCTCCGCAGGACAGTCTTCCATCTTGGGTTTTGTTCCTCCTGGCTCTGTTCTTGCTGTCGCCTCTCTTCCCATCACGGTTCTCGAGCCTTTTCTGTTAGGTTTCCCCACTTTCTCTAGACAACTCACCCCCAGTTCTCTCCCCTATCACTAACCCCACATTTTTACTGAAAGTCTTTATAGCTCTGTATAACTTGCCTTTAACGACTGACCCTTTCTTTGGGTTCAAACTAGAGGTTCCTTCCCCACTGCAGTGGTCACCATATCCTCTTCTAATTTGCTCAGATACACAACAAAGTTAAAACCTACTGACTCTGAAGTTTTTCATAGTCGTCCCTTAGAATATTTTAAAATAATTAGATGCCACATTCACATTTTGTCATGTCCATCTTTTTCAGCCCTGCCTGTGATCTGTGACTGTCTTACCCACAATCACTTTGGAGAGAGATTTTTGCCTTTCCAAAGGCAGAGAGGAATTAGACATGTTACACGTCACTACCGTGGCCTTAGATTTAAAAGGTGTACCATACCTCTGGCTGAAAGGCCTGACACGAACTGCCACCGTCACTTGACTGTTCTCTACTTTTAAGGGGTCTGTCTCTGGAGAGGTGTTCTGAACTGAAGTTTCTTCTTCAGGAGGGAGTGTCTTTTCTTGTGACCTTTCCCTTTTGTTTGCAAGAAGAGAACTTTTTGGTTTTTGTTTAACTTGAAGGCTAGGTGTCCGATTTTTCAGTATTGACGCAGCTGGGCTCTTAAACTGAGGTGTGCCACACCTTGGCGTCAATCTGTGTTCTGTAATACATTTTGTAGGTGTTCTTCTTTCTAAGCTTTCAAATTTATTTGAACTTTTTGCAATACCCTTCCCAGTACTTCTATGGTGTAAGTTTCCTGTTCCTGACACTTTGGTATCCAACTTGTTCTGAAGAGGTTTTGCAGCCACAGGTCCAGATCTAATGACAATCTGACTCTGGGAACCAGTGGGTGCTCTGTTACTTAAGTACTTAAGTGCAGCATCTTCATTTGCCCCACTGAGGGCAGAAGACGTTTCTTTGTATTTTTCATCAGCCATCATTTCAATGTCTTTGGGGTCTTCAGCTAAAGGTACAGAAGACGCAATAGAAGAGATTTTATCATTATTTACAATCTTTACATTTGTACAAGGTTCCCGTGAAGCACAATTATTTTCTGTTTCACCTCCCACATTCTGTGTTGTTTTCCACTTTTCCACAGACTCTGTTTTAGCACGACATTGTAATGTAAGACGTGTTTCTGCTGTTTTTTCAGTTGAGTCTCCCAACTCAATACCAAGCAAAGATGCTTCCTTGTTCCTTGTAACTCTTCTCTGAAGTGTCAATCTACTTGCAGGGTTAGGGCTAAGGGGCTTAGCTCCTGCTTTTTCACAGGCAGAAATAACATAAGTACTATTTATGTCTCTGATTTTACTTGCAGATCTCAATAAGGAATCATCATTTTCACATTCTGATATATCTGACTTCAAATGCAGCTTTAGTCTGCTACTGTGGGTGAGGACATTCGGTGCTGAACTCTTTGGGAAAGCAGGACTACCAAGGATATCGCTGTCATTTCCGCTACGTGCAGTGAATGCTGACATCGTGGTGGCAAGTTATTTTAAAAAAGAACGTTGTTGAAGAAGCTAAGCTCTTCTTTGGATGTTTATTTGACTTCCAGCCATTTCTTACATATCAGTTTCCAAAATTATCAGCTAAACTACAAAAAAAAAAAATTTAGATTGCACAGACTACAAACAGACTTTAAAAATATGACAGCTTTCCATTGTGAAAGTAACTTCTCAGTGAAATACATCAGAATAAATCACGCTTTCCAACTCAGATACTGGTCCCAGGCAGCTTCAGACAAATCTTTGCCCTCCAAGAGCTTACGATCAGTATTCAACAAGTATTCACTGAGTCCCCATTATGTGTCAGGCCCTCTGATAGATACTATGGATTTCAAAGACAAGACCTCTGTCCTCATTTCCCTAGTCTAGAAGGAATACACAGATAACCTTTATATCAGGCCAAATGTGCCAAGAGACTTAAAAGATATAAAAAGCACATGTCAAAAAAGATACACGAATGGCCAACAAGCATATAAAAAGATGCTCAACATCACTAATCATTAAGGAAATGCAAATCAAAACTATGAGATACTACATCACATGCATTAGGATGGATACTCTCAACAAAACAGAAAACAACAAGAGTTAGCGAGGATGTGGAGAAATTGGAACACTTGTGCACTGTGGGTGGGAATGTAGAATGGTACAGCTGCTGTGGAAAACAGTATGGAAGTTCCTCAAAAAATTAAAAATAAAATTACCATACGACCCAGCAATTCCACTTCTGGGTATATACCCAAAAGAAGTGAAAGGTCTCCAAGAGATATTTGTACACCCATGTTCAGAGCAGCATCATTCACAATAGCTAAAACATGGAAGCAACCCAAGTGTCCACTGATGAATGAATGGCTTACCAAGATGTGGTAGATTCACACAATGAAATGTTATTCTGCCTTAAAAGGAAAAAAATTCTGCAATATGCCACAACGTGGATGAACCTCGAGGACATTACACTAAGTGAAATAATCTAGTCACAAAAAGACAAATATTGTTTGATTCCACTTATATGAGGTACCTAAGAGTAGTTAAAATCATAAAGACAGAAAGTATAAGGGTGGCTGCCAGCGGTTGGGGAAGGGAAGAAGAGGGAGTTATTGTTTAATGGGTATAGAGTTTCAGATTTACAGGATGACAAGAGTTATGGGGGTGGATAGTGGTGATGCCTGCACAACAACGTGAATGTATTTAAGGATGTATACTAAAAAAATGCTACACTTAAAAATGGTTAAGATGGTAAATGTTAGGGGCCGGCCCGGTGGCACAGCGGTTAGGTGCGCGTGCTCTGCTGCGGCAGCCCAGGGTTCCCAGGTTCCGATTCCAGGTGTGCACCGATGCACCGCTTGTCAAGCCAGGCTGTGGCAGCATCCCATATAAAGTAGAGGAAGATGGGTATGGATGTTAGCCCAGGGCCACTCTCCTTCAAGAAAAAAAGGGGAGGATTGGCATCGGTTGTTAGCTCAGGGCTAGTCCTCCTCTCAAAAAAAAAAAAAAAAAAAAAAGATGGTAAATGTTATATGTATTATAACACAATTTTAAAAAGAAAAAAAAAGTGCATGTCAGAAAAGATTTTTTTTTTAAGTAACCCCAGCTTGAGGAGTAGGGAGAGGGATTAGTGGAAACCCTAGCTACCAAGTCAAAGACTGGAGTAAAGCATTTTTATAGGACTGGCCCAGTGGCGTGGCGGTTAAGTTTGGGCGTTTTGCTTTGGCGGCCCGGAGTTCACCAGTTCGGATCCTGGGTGCGGACCTACTCACCGCTCATCAAGCCATGCAGAGGCACCGTCCCACATAGAAGAACTAGAACGACCTATAACTAAGATACACAACTATGTACCAGGGCTTTAGGGAAGAAAAAAGAAAAAGAGGAAGATTGGCAACATTAGCTCAGGGCCAATCTTCCTCACAAAAAAAAAAATTTTTTAAAAAGCATTTTTATAATACTTGTTGAATGTATATACAACATTACAGGAATGCCTCATGGAGATTAGTTTGAGAGGTATCACAAGGCAGATTATTCCCAAAAAAGTATCGCAGACAACAAATATGATAAGTACTGTAAATTAACTGCTTGGGTTGAGAAAAATTACACAAGATTAGATAAGTAGAGAGCCTGTCCTCTAGCAGTTAAGACAACAAAGTAGACAAGTGTGTATGTAAATATACGTCAACAATATCTATCCAGCATTCGTGTTTAAAAGTGTCCACATGGGGGCCTGCCCGGTGGCGCAGCAGTTAAGTGCATGTGCTCCGCTTCGGCGGCCGAGGGCTCACAGGTTCGGATCCCAGGCGCGCACCAATGCACCGCTTGTCAGGCCATGCTGTGGTGGCGTCCCATACAAAGTAGAGGAAGATGGGCACAGATGTTAGCCCAGGGCCAATCTTCCTCAGCAAAAAAGAGGGAGATCGGCATCGGATGGTAGCTCAGAGCTGATCTTCCTCACAAAAAAAGGATCCACCTGAATAATCAATAACCAATCTATAGATAAGAAAGATAGAGGGGCGGGCCCCGTGGCTTAGCGGTTAAGTGCACACGCTCCGCTGCCGGTGGCCTGGGTTCGGATCCTGGGCACGCACCAACGCACTGCTTGTCGGGCCATGCTGAGGCAGTGTCCCACATACAGCAACTAGCAGGATATGCAACTACCATATACAACTATCTACTGGGGCTTTGGGGAGGGGAAAAAAAGGAGGAGGATCAGCAATAGATGTTAGCTCAGGGCCGGTCCTCCTCAGCAAAAAAAAAAAAAAAAAAGTGATAGAAAGAACTCACACATCTCAACAACAAAGAAACAAGCAACCCAATGGAAAAATTAGTAAAAGACCTGAACAGACATTTCTCCAAAGAAGATATACAAATGGCCAACAGGCACAGGAAAAGATGTTCAACATCATTAACTATCAGGGAAACGCAAATCAAAACTACAATGAGATATCACCTCACGCCCGTCAAAACGGCTATAATTAACAAGACAAGAAATAACAAGCGTTGGAGAGGATGTGGAGAAAAGGGAACTCTCTTGGGGCCGGCCCCATGGCTTTGTGGTTAAGTGCTTGCGCTCCGCTACTGGCGGCCTGGGTTCAGATCCCGGGCCCGCACCGACGCACCGCTTGTCGGGCCATGCTGAGGCAGCATCCCACATACAGCAACTAGAAGGATGTGCAACTATGACAAACAACTATCTACTGGGGCTTTGGGGAAAAAACGAGGAAGATTGGCAATAGATGTTAGCTCAGAGCCAGTCTTCCTCAGCAAAAAGAGGGGGATTAGCATGGGTGTTAGCTCAGGGCTGATCTTCCTCACACACACACACACACAAAAAAACCCAGATCCTTTAAAAACAAAAAGAAAAGAGAACTCTCATACACTGCTGATGGGAGTGCAAACTGGTGCAGCCACTATGGAAAACAGTATGGAGATTCCTCAAAAAATTAAGAATAGAACTACCATATGATCCAGCTATTCCACTGCTGGGTATTTATCCAAAGAACACAAAAACATGAATGCATAAAGATACATGCACCCCTGTGTTCACTGCAGCATTATTCACAATAGACAAGACTTGGAAACAAACTAAGTGCCCATCAAGGTATGAATAAAGAAGATGTGGTCCATATAACAATGGAATACTACTCAGCTATTAAAACAAGATGAAATCTTGCCATTTGCAACAACATGGATGGAACTTGAGAGTATTATGCTAAGCAAAATAAGTCAGACAGAGAAAGTCAAATACGGTATGATCTCACTCACAAATAGCAGATAAAAACAACAAACACACACAGAGACAGAGATTGGATTGGTGGCTCCCAGAGAGGAAGCGAGGAGGGAGGAGGGCGAAAGGGGTGACTTGCACATGCATATGGGGATGGATGGTAGTCTTTGGGTGGTGAACGTGATGTAGTCTACACAGAAATTGAAATATAATGATGTATACCTGAAATTTATACAATGTTATAAAGCAATTTTACCTCAATTTAAAAAAAAAGAAAGGGTGATATTTATTGAGCTGAGGACTGATCCGGGAAAAACAAGTTTTAAGCCAAGTCAGATTTAAACCAGAATGGATTCCCCATATACCTCGATATGTGAAAACTTCTTACTATTCTTATTATTTTCATCAAAAGAAAGAAAACAACGACAGCTAAGAGGCCTGGCTTCTAGTCAACTCCGCATCAAACTGGTTACAAGGATGTAAACAAGTCTTTAAATTTGCATGCCTGGTTCTAACTTGTAAAATGACACTTGCTCCAACTACTCCATAAATCATTGCTATCAGGGAACGAAAGAACAGAAGTTTTAACTCAGTCTTTTCAAGTTCTAAATAAATAACAATGATTACGAAAAATTCGCCAGGACATAAGCATCTCCCGTCAACCTTTTAACTGAGAGCACAGAGCCTTCCTCTTATGGAAATAAACAAAGAAAAGAGTGTGGCAATTCTAGCGCAGCTGAAAATGGTTAGCTACTTACCCAGGTAGACACGCGTGTGGCTCTTCTGGGAAGTTTCTCCCCCGACTTTAACGGGGACTGGGAGGAGAGGAGGAAGGGAGGTCACGACCCGAACCCCGACATCCCCGGGGACGTGTCCTCACTGGTCATTACGGCTGTGACCGCGAATGTTCCTCTTACGCCAACCGACCGGGCAGGACTCCCTCGGGGAAGCTGTGGCCGAGGGCCCTGGGTCCGGCTTACCGGTTCCCTGGAGGCGCCACCCCGCGCCCTCCTTCGGGGTCCCCTCCGCCCCGACCCGGGTCGGGGGCTCGTGGGGGACCGAGCTGGCCCAGCCGCCCGCACCTCGGCGGCCGCGGTGGCGAAGGCGTCCGCACGCAAGCCCCCAGCACCGAGACCTCGCCCTTCCGCGAGCTTCCCCCGCGGACACCTCCCTGGGGCCGTCCCCGCGCCACTCAGCCGGCTCCCGCGGCCGCCGCCATTTGAATGGGCGCGCCACCTTCTGATTGGCTGCCGGTCGTCGC